TTCACCAGATAGAAATAAAAATTTAGGTAATTTATATTTCGTTATTAACTTTCAAAACCCTATTTTCGATAAGATAAAATTTAATAATATTTTTGAAAATTTAAAATATTTATTTCCAGTGAAAGATTTTAACATAATAAAAAGCTTTAAATATAATAAATCTCTTGGTAGAACTATATTTATTATAACGATATTAGCAAAAATTTAGGGAGGATTAATTAATTCGATGCCACTGTGAAGAAGAGAAATATTTTGACTTTATTGATAAACATCATAAACATATTATTATTACTGGTAATTTAAATATTACAGAGAACTTAGGTATTTAATGATAACAGGCACAAAATTTAGACATTTACCATGTATCAATTAATAAAATTCTAAAATACTTTCTTAATGATCTCATTAGTTTTTATTTAAAAATATTAAATCGATTCTCTTCACCGTTAGGTATGTTAACAGAATGGAAATAGGCTGTTTATTATTACTCCTGTTTTTAATAATTAGGAAAAATTAAATAACAGTAACAATTCAACAAATTTTTCTAAAACTTTTCAACCAAATAACAACTACAATAAAATTTTATAATTACCCCTATCGACAAAAGTAAGAATAACTATGCAATCTTTTGAGAAAAATTATATGTTGATCTTTTAAATACGGAGTTAAAAAATAGTAAAAATTTTAAGCTTAGTAATTTAAATAATAATAATACTGACATTACAAAAATTTTGGCTTTATATAAGAGGTTAAAAATTAAAATTAGCAATATACAATTTCTTTACTTTATTATCAGTAACAAATTTCGTAAAATTTTGAACAATCACATATGGGTCTAATACTTATCTAACTAAACCTGGCACCATTTTCTCTAACAACTTAAATAAAATTATTATCAATATTACTAAAGAAGTTTATTTTTTGTTATCACTAATAATCAACCGATTTTAGAATTCATTAAACATAATAAAATGAATTATATTGCGACTTTTGATTTCCAGGATCTTTTCAATAGCATTCCCCTTTCGAAACTAAAAGATGTCCTTTTGAAATATTACTATGATTTTAACAATATCCTTTGTTGCGATTTTGATTATTGGGAAATTCTTATTAATTTCTGCCTTTTTAATAATTATCTTTACAATGGAAAATATTTTTTTCTTCAAATTGATGGAATACCACAAGGATCTAATTTTTCATCTCCATTAGCTAATTTATTTTTGCACTATTATGAAAAAAATTATACTCTTAATATTAAATTTGTTTTTAGATTTATTGATGATTTAATTATCTTTAATTTTAAAGATTATACAATTTTATTAAATAATATTGACCCCGAGGAATTAATTTTGATTTGTAATCATGATGATAATATTTAAATTTTTTGGATTTGGGTATTAAAAAATAAGAAAATATCTACTTTGTTTTATTTATACGATTAAAGAAATGATATTAAATTTAACATAAATGAACAAATTACTTGGGATTCTAATGTTTCTAAAAACATCTATATTTAAATAAAATTTTTAATCAAATGAATAGAATTAAAAGAATGAGTAGTAATGTTTATTTACGTTTATTAAAACAAATTGACAAACAATGCGTATTAAAACAATTAATTAACACAATGTTAATTAAGACAATTAATTATTGACAATAAATGTTTATTAAAACAGACAAACTCTTGCAAAATTTGATAAAAAAAAGCAATGGATTTCCAACTAAAATAAATAAATTCGATATTAAATCATTGAGTTAATTGCATGTTATTGTAAATAAACTTACTAAAAACTTCTTCGTTAATTTATATAATTTTTACCATGTGCAAATTCATTTCGGGCAAATCCGTGGCTAAAAATATGTGCAAAACAGGCAATTCATGTTCCTTTTTCTCTCTCTTTAAAATTTATATAATTAAATATCAACCTTATTAATTATAAACTTCTTTAAATTATCCTGCATAATATTACCTTGCGTACATCTGTTTTCGGGCCCATCCTTGGTAACTAAAGCTCCTCAGTACTACAGTAAAAACGCGCTATAAAACAAAATCCATCTACTTATACTTTTACTTCAATTTGCGATTCTGTTTTCGTATTTTGTAATCTGGCAATCTTATTACGAAAAATTTTTTAATCAATCTTAAAAATTTTCCCGTTCATGTAAGTTCATTTGAATTCGCTACTCGCTTTATAGATTTCTTTTTATGCTCTGTACTGTTTTTTCTTTACATTTTATTTTCTGTTTTTACATGATATTCATTACTTAATGCGTTCTATTCTATTTTGTTTCAAAAAAATTTTTTGAGTGCTCCTCAGACTATTGTACTGATATTATTTTCTTTGGCTATATTGATACAATATTAGAAAGCACTCCTTTTTGCAGATATAATCGTGTGAGCTGATGAAGAGATCATATCTTCTTTTTTTTCCCGGATTTTTCTATTTATTTTTAGAAATGATTTTTTNATATATGGGTGATTCCCACGAAATATGACAATTTACAATCACTTGCACCAAGATCTAATACTAAACTACTAAACGAACTTTTTCTTTAAAATTTAATAAATAGCATTGCTGTTAGCATTTTAAAATAACCTAGTACTAGCATCGACTATTTTGTACATTTTGTACATTGAATCGACATTTTGTACATTGAACTTCAAAATTTCATGTTTCTGGCATGTCACAAACAATGTTTCCAATAATAACTAGCTTCAGAACTTCCCATAAATTTTACAATATCTAATTTTTTTTATCTCAACCGGTGTAAGCATTTCTAGAATATATGCAGTGGGTATTATTTACAAAAACTTCGCTTAAAATAATTTTTTCTATCAATAATTTGTTTGTCACAGGAAAATCTGTCATTTTCCTGGCTACATTTATTTAGTGGTTTATAACCAAAATAGATAGAGCCAGCAATCAATATCTTATGTTAATAGACTGATTAGATGCCCTCATATCTGAACATGTCTTGTTGTATGAATAAAGAACCAACTTTCTGGTTCAAAGTCTATTTCAAAACAATTTTCAAGGTGAGTAGGGTTTTGTGTTGTCATTTTCCTGGCTTCTTGAAATCATTAATAACATAAACTACATAGATTTATCTGAGTTATTTTAAGAAATCCTGCTGTTTAATGCAGAATATAAACGTCTTTGACCAAAATATTAAATTAAAGTAAAGTTATATGCTATAAAATGGCGAATTTGTCATTATCCTGGCTTATGAATGCCAGAACATTGAAGTGTTACCAGAAATTTTTTCTAACTGCTAATACTGTAAGGAGGGAAAGCAAATATTAACCTAATACCAAGTTTATGTATGATTGTAATAAGATTGAATGTAATCAAACTTATTTATTTATTTAATGATTGATTATTTTACACAATTTTATTCTGTACCTATCAGCAACAAAAATGTTTTTGATTCTTTCTACAGTAGATAAAAGAATTAATTTAAGCAATTTATGGTCCATCTAACACAAAGGCTTAGGTTCTGAAACTTACTAAAAGCTTAAAATGACTGATTTCTTCCAACTTCTAAGCTAATATGTCATTTTCCTGGCTTTCAAAATGTGGTGAATTACTATTTTATTTTTTTCTTGAGCAAATGTCAATAAACTACACTGCTGTCTGTAAAATATTAATAAACGTAACTAAATAAATATACAAAAATAAAATTTGATTGTTTTGAAAACTTTAAATTGGAAGGAAATCTTTGGTCCGAATTGTCATGTTTCCTATAAGAATCACCCGTATATACATTTCCACTCATTGTTTCGTATTGTGGAACACGTTCTGTATTTCTGAGGATTTTTTTTTCAAGTGCAGTTGAATATTTTTCAAATCCAAGTAATCATTGATTTTTCGATTAACATATAAGCAAAATGTTCTTACACAAAACCAAGCCATAATTATTATATGTTACATAAACAAATAGTCTTTTTTTTCGTTCGACTTTTAAGAATAATAGAAAACAGAGATGATCGAAAGGCAACTACAGGATTTGGTGAGTAGAGCCTCTCAGCAAATTAAAATGATAATAAAAAAAATTTTGACAGTAATTTAGAGTGTTTATAAATAACTAATGAAACTAAAAATATTATGTTGTCTATCAATTGAAATAAAGTATCCGCTAAATAAATTATAATTTAAAATAATTACTTTAATTGTGTTTCATTGTTCTTGAATTTTGTTTCATTTTGTTCGAATCATAACAAAATCTTTAACCTGTTTCATGATAGTCTTTACAAAAAATTGCGAATCATAAAATTAAATATCAACTATCATCGCTAAATTATAGATAAACTGTTAAAAACTTTTGATTTTTTAAGACTTTTAAACCTTTAAAATAAAAAAATAGATGTAGGGGGTTTTGGTATTTAAAAAAGTTGTAAAAATCATAAGATTAGGAAAATTATCTGGTCTGCCCCTCCCTATGCTACTCCTATGATTAGACACAAAACTTTTTTTTCTTTCAAAAATGTCCGATTTTATAGCTGCCAGTAACTTTTTGCACAAGATTTTTACAGTAATAGAAAAATATTATTCTTTAAATTTTAGAAAAGAGGAGTACTTTTCAATTTTTAAGCAAAAACTGAAGAAAACTATTTCTATATTAATTAAGGTAAGTGCTACTTACCCCGTTCTCCAGGACTGCCACATTTTGGAGGGTAATAAATATCAATTTGCTCAGTCATAAAAGACTAACATGTTTTAAAGACAATCACTTTAATAACGAAATATAACAAACAAAAAAGGATTAACAATTAAACATCTAATTATCGTACGGAGCTAAACATGCTTGTTCACAGATTGAGATCAAAACATCAACTGGTGGCGCTGTGGGCGCACCAAAACAACATGCGCAGAAGTGGGAATTCTCGACAGTACTAATAATTTAGTTAAAAATCAAGACTTTCTAAAAATGAAAAATAAAAATTTGAGAATTGGATAAAAAAAAAGAAAAAAAATAGATTTTGTAATAGTAATACTTACCAATACCAAATAAAGGAAGGAGATCGGGTTTCTTTTGTCCTTCTTTTGCGATAAATCTTGAGGGTTTAAACTTTTCAGGTTCGTCGTAATCATCAGCATTCATGTGTGCTGCATAGAAGTTGTAAACTGTTATGGCACCTTTAGGAATTCTGTATCCGCTAATTGTTGTTTCCTCTATGAATATAAAATTAAGATCAAAGAATAAACTTACAAATATTTTTAAATAAATATAATTCTCATCACAATTTTTTTAAAAATAAAACACATGGTATAGACGAAAAGAAGTTTCATCATTTTGATACTTTCACTTCCAAATTTCAAAGCTGTATTAACCAATAATATGGACAAAAAATATCATTTACATTAAATGTACCCTATTTTCCATAGTGTGGTGACCTATATTTTGAGGATCTAGAATCCAAATCCGCCTGAAAAAATGAATATTTATATTCAGAGAAAATATGTTTTTGTGTCTGATTTCATAACTTGAAAATGTTGCTCGCATATTAATTAGCACATTTAAGGTCAGGCTTTCGAACCATTAAGATTGAGACATAGTACGTGAAAATCCTATCATTAGGTCCAAAGCTATTTAGGGTGGGTTTTTTTTTTCGTACATCAGAGAAATATATCAGTTTTCCAGCATCCAGAACGTTCGCACACAGCTCTGTAGATAGCGAAGGGAGATTTTCCTGTAGTAACTGCGTTGCGCCTAACGTACATAATACGTTATGTCTACTATATTATACTCGTATATACTCTTTATACTTTGAGGTAGAAATTATGTTTTTGATTCAACATATGACATCATTGCCAAGATCGCATTGGGTGAAATGTCTGGAAAAATCAGCAAGAAAAAGGAATTTAAGAGTGAATATAACGAAAACAAAATTGATGTAGTGTGGTAAATCCTTACATTTGAAGTAGACTCCTTTAAATTTTAATCTGTAAGCAATTTTACTAATTTAGGATGTGACATAACACATCTTTTGCAATAATGTTATGAAATTACATAAGTCTTACAATCAGAATAAAGATTGTAACAGTCAATCACTGCTTTGATTTAAGATCATTATTTAAATCCAGCGCCGTTTTGCCCATTAGGCCATGGCCTGGAGCACCCAAGGGGCCCCTTTAAAATTGATTTTTTGAAAATAAATTAAGAAAAACAATGATTCTTGAAATTTTTTCAAAATGTTATGATTATTTTTTAGTTCTAATTTAATAAGATAAAGTAAAAATTAATTTATTATTGTTTATTTTAATTTTAAGTATGCTTTCTTAAATGAAAAGATATATAAATACTTTTATATTTGAATAAAAAAAAATATACGAGAAAAAAATTTAATCTAAGGGCCCAAAAATTTGAATGGTACGCTTAATCAGCCCCTGTTTAAATCCCATTTAATAAAAAAGACAACGCTCTAGACAATACAAGGTATTAATAAAATTAGTCTTGCCGTATGCCCCAAAGTCACGCCCCTTGGCAAAAAAAGGCTAGATGATTTTAGCGATCTTTGAAAGGAAAGTTTTGACAACCATCTTTGGTGCTGTTCTTGATAATAATAATAATAAGCGAAAAAAAGATATAAAATCAAAATCTATAACATTTGAGTGAGGGTATTATAAAATTCACAAGTCATAGTAGAAGAAGATAGACAGGGCACCTTAAAAGGATGAGCTTAGCATTGAGGGATTAAAAAAAAAAAAAAAAAACAAGAGGAAAACTCAAAAAGAAATGGAAAGACTGTGGAAGAGCCGTCCAGAAAATGAGATCAATTTCTGGGAGAAGATTAGATTGGGAAAAGCTTCTAAGGAAAGCCCAAAAAGGGCTGTTATGCTGATGATGATTAATTTAATTATTTTCTGATATTAACCTTAAACGAAATTGTAGAAATATGTTTAAGTTTTTCGAAACCTATTTAAAGAAAATAAATACTTACTAGCGCACTCCATACTTGGGAACATCGTAAACGTTTCTGTCGTTCTCATTACTTCATTCAAGAAAGCGTTGGTGTAGATTAATTTGCTTTTATCATCTATCTCAGGATTTCTATCTAAACCAACAACTTCAACAAGTTCTTTATATATTTTTTCTTGCTCTTCAGGATGCTTTAAGGCAGCGGTTAAAAAGTCACTAATAAACATGGCCAAAAACAAGACTCCGTCGCCCACAATTTGAAGCAAGGATATCATCAAAACTTCATCTGAAAATAGCATTATCAGTATTGTATAATTAACCCTTTGCCGCAGAATTTTTATTAAATATATTTTTCATACTATTTTCATTAATTTGTATCAATTTAGGTTGAAATAAGGGAAATATATTACATTTGGCATTTTAATAGTTTATGGTTATGAAATACAGTATAAAACGCCGGTATCTTTTTCTGCATTCTAGGTAAAATCTTTCAAACGCAGTTCACTTTCAAACAATAATTTTTCAAATGTGCACTTATTTGCAGATATTTTGATTTAAGAGAAGCAGTTATTCATCATTGAAATTTCTTTAATTTAGAAAATCAATTCTTGATAAATTTTTGAATTTGAATGGAATTTGTTTTTTCGAACTACTTATTTCGGATTTCATATTTTAGTACAAATACAATTCCGATAATCTATATTTTTTTTTGATAATTATTAGATTTTTTTATAATTAAAAAATACTGAAGTACATTTAGTTCGAAATTAGGGCGAAAGAAAATATATGTATATAAGGTATTCCAGAGTCCCATCTGCATCAAAGCATTAAATAGTTCAAGGAAAAAATATTCTCAATACGTTATCTTGACAAAACTGCATAAAAAAAGTTCTAATTATTCACCATCTATCCTAAAAAGACAAACTTACCCTACCGGAAGTCTTGAGGTCTTCTTCTAACGTCATAGCATTGACTTGATTATTTCTTTTTTTTTAAAAAAACGTTCCGGGTTTGTTTGTATATCTACTCGGAATACTCAGTTGTTCTGAATTTAATTTTTGTGTCGTGTGTTTGCGAAAAACTTTGTTCTTCATATTTTAAAATATCAGATGAAGAAATGAAAAAAAGTACTTTGGGAAATTATTCTATATTGATATGAAATTACCTGATGGTTGAGATGCAGATTTACTCAATTTAGTTAACACCAGCAGAAATTCTTCTACCGGAAGTTGAAACTACCTGTCCAAATACTGCGCCCCCTACCGTGGAGAACATGAAAACGCAGTCGGGGATAAGGTGAATATGAAAACAGATATTTTTTTTGACAGTATTCAAAGCTAACCTGTAAAATATTTTGCCACAGGATCTTTTCTAGCTTCTCTTTCTTTCTTTTCTTTGAAAAAAGCATCTAAGCCATCTCTTATGTGATTTTCGTCGAAAGTTGCTCTCCTCCTTTTCACCACTTCGATCATAATTTTTTTCATTTCCCGGTGACCTTTCTTACTTTCCGGAACATTCATAGCAAAAGGAAACAGAAAATATCTAAAAAATTCCATTAAGACTGCATTAATATATATGATTTTGATATTACATTTGATTTGACAGTTCAGTACCTAAAGACCTTCAAAAAATCGAATTTGAGATTTTGATCAATAATTAAACTAGAAACTATCAGCTTTCTAACGATTTATTGCTTTTGTTTGAAATCCACGTAGAAGTGCACTTAAACTTAATTTAAAAAATTTAAACAAACCGAAAACACCCATGCCACGCCCACTTTTGACAGACGATTTCGTAAACATTATAATGTCCATTATTTTTTGCATGTGCTATTACCAAGCCATTAAAAAATTATTTATTGTTGTTGTTGTTGTTAATTTACGTCGCACTAGAGCTGCACAATGGGCTATTGGCGACGATCTGGGAAACATCCCGGAGGATGATCCGAAGACATGCCATCACAATTTTGATCCTCTGCGGAGGGGATGGCACCCCCGCTTCGGTAGCCCGACGACCTGCACGTGAAGTCGAGCACTTTACGGTAAAATAGTTTAACGAGGACCAATACTGCACACCCTCGGTCCCTATACCGACTGATCCAAGTGGTCACCCACCCGCTCACTGACCGTAGCCAGTGATGCTTGACTTCGGTGATCTGCTGGGAACCGTGTCTTTTCGATCAGTCCACTGCGGGACAAAAAATTATTTATAATTTCAACTTTACAATATCTTTAGTTGATTGTAACTTTAACTGGATTATTTGTTTGTTCTTTATTTCCATGCGATTTTCGAGAATTATGAATATAAAACTGATATATACATTAGTTTGATTTGTTAAGTCTATTTTTGTTTTGTTCTTTTATTATACTGTTATTGGGTCATTATTTTTACGTTTTTTTTTAATTCTTCATTACGTTTTTGTTTACTTACGTAAAAGAGAAGAAAATAAAGTACTGAAATGCAAAAAAAACATTGCTTATGGACCGGGATTGTTTTGAAGCTGTCATTACCAGCATAGATTAGGAATTTCGTTTACATTATTCGAATTTACCTTGGACCGGGTTTTTTTTTCTCCCTAATTTCTAGTTACATCATTTTGATTTTTTGTTTAAATGTTCTTTACATAATATTTCTAATTTTGAAGTAAATTCCTATTTACAGTTCTTTGTTAATTATTTCTGTGTTTAGAATGTTTATCTTGAAATATGCATTTTCTTAGATTTTTTTTGTAATATAGTTATTTTTTTTAACAAAAATACTTTTAACTCATTTAAATTTAAACAAAACATCTTGGTAAAGACTTGAATATTCAATTTTCATGAATAAAATTTATGGGTGATTTATGAATTATACAATTTTATAATTATCGCATTCAGTTTGATCATTTTAAGGGCTTTTTATTCGCTCGAAAAGTGAGGAGAGTATAGTATAAAAACCTATTTTTCAATCAAATAAAAGAAACATTTAAGAGTAATTTGTTTGAAATGTAAGCAGTACGAGATTTATAACTTAGAAACAATTTGATTTTTGAATTTAAATTTTAAATATTGTTGGTAGTCTAATATTTACGCTTTAAATGCAAATAACTCAAAACTATGTTTTTTTTGCTTCGATGTACCTTTTCTTGAAAACTATTGATCATAACACTTTGATATTTGATTTAAAAAGTTCCTTTAGTACTGTAGTTTGTGCTGAAGTGAGCAGTTTTTTAAGAGAAACTTAATATTTTTTTTTAATTCAAAATTTTCGGATGAAAATGTGAAGCTTTTAAAATTTTCTGACATGCTGTGTAATTTATTTTTTTTAAATTTCTTTTAATTTACTAAATTTAAAAAAGTTCACTTCAGTATAATCTAGAATATCTATTACATGCACAAAGCTCTACTTACGATACTTTTTTTAAAAAGGTACATCGAAATATGCCATTTTAACATTGTCAACATAGGAGGTACCGAACCCCCAAGCAAATAAATCGAAACATATTGTTGAAAAACATTGTAACCAGGGTCGCCGTTTAATAGCATGCACGCACAGGGATGTCATACTGTTTAAAATCGAACTTAAACACTAAATATATATTAAATAACGGTTTTAAGATAGGCAGTAATGTTAACACATTTAAACATAGTTTGATTACCCCAAAAATTCAATATATATATAAAATAAAGCATTTTCTGACGACGAATCATTTTTTTAAAAAAAAATTGAGATGATAACCAGTTGCCATCCTCGAATAATGAAATAACTTTGAAAACCATCGAAGCTAACTAAAATTAAATTTTAAAAAAAGCATTAAGGATAACAAATAAAGCATAAAGGATATAACAAGAAAAAAAAATCAAAAGGTATGAATTATTTCGTCAAACTCGGCAGTTGTTGAAACAACTGTCGATGCACATCAGACATAACTAGTGGTTGTTTCATAGTGCAGTATCATTCTAAACTCTTTCGATTATTACTTTATTTTACTAATTGTAAATACTAAGCAGAGTGGGTGGGGGTCAAGCATTTTTAGAGACATTATGCAAAACTTGCTCACATTCATTTATTTTGCATCTCACGAACTCGGCGAATATGTCAACGGGAAGTGAGAGTCGAGCATCAAAAAACTTCACCGTAATGTAGACAAATAGATTTCGGATGAATTTTTTGATAAACTATTCAAATTATGGATGTGTGTTATGATAATCAATCACTATACAATACATCTATAAATAAAATACGCACTTTATACAATAGAATATATATTTTTTTAGAAAAAATGTAAGGCCATGTTGTTTATCCATAATTATTTTTTTTTTAAATACAATTTATAAAAAGTAAGATTCTCAAGGGCCCCCACGGGCACTCCTCGTGTGTGCCCCATGCGTAATTTCGGTACCGGTAGTAATTGAGCCTGTCATTGGCTGTGTGGGAAGGGTACATAAAAGAGGAAAAAATTGATTCTGGAATTCATTTTTAATTATTTTTCAAACATGTGTGGGGAGGGGCACCCCTGAGGCTACAACCGGGGGCTCTTTCTGGTGTCAGCTGGCCACGCCACTCAATACAAGTAAAAGGTTTCAAATGAAGTCATACATTTGAAATGAATTATGCATCAGACTTTGCAGTGGACATCCAAGCAAATTTTTCATTCATGCATTTTAAACTATGGGTTGAAACAATAAGCAAATCGTGTACAAACAAATATTTAAAACTAGCCTCCTTTTGTTCCAAATTATCCTGTACAATGCATACATTTTAATGGTAACCAAGTGGAATGCACAGCACAACTGTATTTAAATATTCCATTCCTCCAACACTAACAGCTTAATATATAAACTCAATTTTTTCACAGTTTAGCCGTTGCCCAAACGAAAGTATAATACTGTGATTTCAATTTTATTTTAATTATTTTTAAGTTTTCCATGCATTAAATTTCAGTAATAAATTAAAATCTGTCTGGCAGCCATTCAATCGCAAAAACCACCCTAAGTGGAGTTCGGCCCATTTTAGCATAGTAGGCAACAGAAATTATTTCCATCTCTGCCTGCGGTCGTGAGATAAGATAGAAAACATTCATTGCGTACTGTACTAAATCGTCACATAACTCTAGAACCATAACTTTATCGTATAAAATATTTATGCTATTTTTTTTTTAAAAAAAAAAAGGCAATTTCCGACATTAATGACAGCAGTGTGTCGCACCGTTAAAAATTTCTACAGCCAGTTTAGAAAAGATAAACTTAAATAATGACTTCGTAACTAAGTTTTGAGGGATTAAAGGGGATTTTGAAAAATGTGATGCTTCATTTTCCATCATCACAACCTTTTCACCTCTGTTTTAATTTTCATATGCTTTAAATATAGTTCAGAAAATAATGGCATTCCTGAGTTAAATGTTAGAGGAAAATTTAAAAGGTTATGTTTTTTTAAACGAATTAGTTAATGTCAAATTTTCTTTTCTAAGCGTCAAAAATTTTATTCTGTTCATAAAAGTTTTTTTTAAGCCATAAAAAGAAGCTTTAGGAAAAATCATGAGAGTAGTATCTAGATTTAGTAAAGTGGTTACGCGCACACTTAATTAGAATCTCAATCGAACCACTTTGCGGAAATTGAAAAAATTGAATTGCTAAGTAGTCGCATTTATTGAATGCTATACAAATAAACACCTTCTGGATAGAATGCTACGAAAATAACTTTTGTTCGGTATTTTCTACACTGGGACGAAAAGAAATACTTTTATCTTCCAATATACAAAGTTTAAGGACATTAAAAAATAAAATAAAGGTAACTCTGCGAAATAGTTTTTTTCCCCTGATAGATAACAGTTGATAATAGATTTTTTTTACGTCACGTTACAAAGTCTAATGACAAATGCTTTTTCTTATTTTCTAATGCATGAACAAATGTTTTTTAAGCGTATTTTTATCAGTATTATATATATATATTCAGGGCCCGCCTTAAGATTTTAAATTATTAGCCAGTAAATTAGCCAAATATCAAAAGTAAAAAAGTTCGAAAGTGTACGCTAAACGCAACAATTAACCTTTTTTTAGGATTTATTTTTTCCCCATAGGAAATTATTTTACGGTTGTTTGTTTCAGATTTATATTATTTTAACCCAATTCTAATTGGTTATGCCGCGCATCTACCGAAAATTTCTGTAATCGAATAAAAAATTTTGATTTGTTTAGAAAAATTCATTTTGACGTCATTTTGAGAATCCAGTGAAATATATATTTTTCTTTCCAGTGGAAAAAATCATTCGCCACTACTTTTCGCCAAACCACAATTTTATTCATCCAATTTACGATCTTATCGTATTTGGCAAGGTGGCCCTGATATAACAGTGATGTTATATTTCTCCGAATAAGATGTTGAAAATCCGAAAAATTGCGTGAAGAGACATATTCCGGGTACAAAATCGAGGGTTCATATACCATTTAAAAGGTGTAGCTTAAATCTAAACACTCGGAACTCTTTTACACCATACGAGAATAGTTTTGCCTTAGAAAAACACCAATGTTGACGCGCTTTGAATATCAAGAAATGAAAATTCTAAGTAGAATATCTTATTTTATTTTGTTTAAATAACCATCGTTGAACAGCCGACCAAATTTTCGGTCTACGACTACAAATCTACTGTTGCCCCACCTGTTACCGTTCTCAATATCAAAACGCAAAAACAATAGGATGAAATATTGCACACTATTAGTGAAATATTTAGGAAACATTCTGAGTAAACATAAATTTGAATTATTTTAGACTAAAAATTAATAATTTTGATTCAAAAATTGATGGAACATACTTAGCAAAGTTTCCCACTAGCATGAGATTTATGCTCGTCATACTCATCAGGTTCTTGAAGTATGCCCTGCTGAATTCTATCATCTCTTTGTCAGACATGCCATCATTGCCGAAGAGTGTCTGACGCATGACTTTCCCACACTTGACCAGTAGTATTTCAGCAATGTCAACGGGTTGTCCTTTCGCCTTTCTAAGGTCTGCAATAGTCTCCCTGACCGTATCATAGATGGGACCTGATAGACTCTCCTTAATAGCCGTCATTCCCCGCTCTCTAAACTGAAACAATAAGAATTTCCTCACCGCCTTCCATGCTTCTCCTTGCAGGTATACCACACCTGTACAGTTGAGAAAGAAAAAGTATTTTTAAAATCTAAAGTGTTGAGAAGGAAAATAGTTGTTTTTCAAAACAACATGCACTATGCCAAAAAATGACTACTTGAGAATATTGGACAGAGTGAGTGAGCTGGAATACGTCGACAGATTAACTTAAATCAATGATCTGGTATTTGGCAAGGTGGCCCTGANTTTTTTTTTTTTTTTTTTTTTTTTTTTTAGTAGACTTCCATTTGCTGAAATATTTAAAACGCCAACATTCCTTGAACTGTTCGTCTACTATATGTTAACAGATTTTTAATGCTGCCGTATGTCATCACACATTTGTTGCCCCGGAAAACTCCTTCCACTTTAAAAACACTCAAAGATTATACCTTCACCTACTGAGGCCTCCAAAACTAAATGACATTTACAAATAAATCTTTATTCTAAAGTTAAATAAGATTAAGATCATTTAGTTATATAATATTGATAAGTTCTCAAAATTTCCTAAACATTTTAAATTTTTTTTCTCAAAAATAATTCTTAAAGCCTTCTTCTAGCAAGTTCTTCAATTAAAAGAAATGTACAATGTAAACAACAGAAATTTATAAAAAAAGAAGAGAGTTTTATTCCATCGTACCTCCGTCCAAGAAGTAATTGAGTAGATGAAATGCATTGGGTCTGTCGTAGAAACTATCTGATCTGGTGATATGAGCTTCTCTGGTGGCCTTCACGTTTCCTAAATGGATGAAGAGGCGACCGGTGTAAGTAAAACTAAAGACATCGCCATACTTTTTGGCATACTCTTGAAGTTGCAAATGGGCTGTTTCATGCTTGAGGATGGGCCACAATCCAAGATATGGGTAACTAATAGGTCCAGGTGGTAAACCTCTTGTTTTGAAGAGGTAATACAAGATGCTCAAAAGGACAACAGCGACAGCAACGTAAATAGATGTGGCACTGTTGGCCAATTCTTCGATATTGAGAAGCATTTCGTACTTCAGCAGACCAAATAAAATTCTGCAAAACAATAGACTTTTTTAAGTAAAAAATAATAAATGGGTAATAAATTGTAGACGGAATAATGTAGAATATTCTTATAGTGGTAAATGGAATGGAATAATATCATAGTAATAAATAGTAGATGATTTTTAATATGCATGTTGTTCTGCAAGTATATGCATAAAACCTAGATCAAGAGATTGCCAATGTAAGCTTTGAACGTGGCTACAAAAGGTTCTTTCCCAATAGCAAAAAGACATTAANATTGCGATAAACTTAAATGCATGTTGTTCTGCAAGTATATGCATAAAACCTAGATCAAGAGAAAGATAGAACAACTCATTTTTACATAAAACCATTAAAACCTATGGCTTGCCAATGTAAGCTTTGAACGTGGCTACAAAAGGTTCTTTCCCAATAGCAAAAAGACATTAAAAAGTGTGAAATCTCTTCACTAGATAAAGTCAAGAATATGGTTTAATGGAATCTTAATTTTATGTTAACTAATGCAATAATCATACATTTTGAGGGTCTGCAAAACACATAATAATGAAGGAGGGAAAAAATCAATTTAAATACTACGATATCTTAGTTTTAGAAAGCTGTTTTGTATCCATAACTGTTCATCTTAATTCTCATAAAGGCCTTATTTTAGGATTCAAAATGACTTGAGTTGCATAATCACAATATCCCACTAGTCTAAAACCTCACACTTTATCTGATATGTGCTAGCTAATGTTTAATTTATTAGCAAAGAGCTCCACACGCCTTTTATTTCACAAAATGTTTCAGTATTTTTTTTCTTTTTTTTAAAATTTCATTGCATGCAGTTTCAGTACTATATTAACCTCAAATTCTTATTTTCAAAAATATGTTCTCACACCGATTTTCTTTTTGCATGAAAATAGTTCAAAAAAGTTTTATACATGGTTTTTTAAAAACAAACGTAATTAGCTAATTACGTTATTTTGTTTTTACTACAACCATAAGTGTACTGGCTTAAAATAGGGTGGAAAAAATTTCGTTAACTAAAACTTGATAAAGGGAAAAAATTATCAAGATTTATCAAAGAGAAATAAATAAATATTACTGAAGTTTTCATTAAAATGAGTTTATCTTTGTGTGAATGGATAAAAATGATTCTAGAAAGAAGAAAAAAAGATAATTAAATTTTCACACCCTATCAAAGTAAAAAATTATCTATCTCAATGACATTGCTTTTTTTTTCCAAAACATTTTTTTTCTTCTTTTTAGAAGAAATCTAACATGAGTGACAGATTTCAGAGGACTTGTCAGGCATTTTGATTGTTTTTGAGATTATGTTGTTCACTGAGTACTTATCAAACATGACATGTTAAGTGAAAGTTCAAAAACGTGTCGGTAGATACAAAGGAAAGCTTAATAAGTTGTGTTTTTTATCTTTATTTTGTATTTAATTTATTATTTATACTTTATTTTTTTAACAGTCAACTTAAATTTAACTCGTTAATATACAAAAGGGATCTACTCCCAGTTCGTTAAAAATGTCAAAATTAAAAATTTTTCAACTGAAACATCCCAAAATTATTTATTATATTAGCGCGAAATTTTATCAGGACCCAATTTAAACCTAATCTTTTTTTTACAGCTATCATTGCAACATCATTCAAACAATTTTTTCTTCGAGGTTTTGGCTAACATGAAAACTTGTTGTTAAGATTTTTCACTTATGAGATTATTTAGCAGTAGATCTAAAAAATAACTTTAAATATTGCTTAAAAATTTTAAATAGGTTTTTTGTACTCAGTGTTTTAATTTAATATGTTTCGTGGATAGAGTCATATATAAACTTTATGAAACAAGTAATTATAATTTATTAGAAAGCAATTAAATTACTATAATAAGAAATAAACTGTAACTAAAATTATCATTATAAAATATTGCACCATTAAAGTTTAAAGTTTATAACCAACAAAAGGTACTAGTTGATAATTTTTTGAAAGCATATTTCAATAAAATTCGAATAAAAACATATTTCTTATTAAAAATAGTTTTAAATTTTGAAATATTTTAGCAAGTTTTAAGTGAATACCTGTGGAGAGAGGGAATTCTCAGAAAAACGCTCCTCTCCAGAAATATAAATTATCAAATCAACTTTAATCCAAACACAAATGAGCTCATATTTTCTAACCTAAAAATACCTTTTTTCTTATATACTGCAAAATATGAATTAAGCAGCTTATTCGGATCAAAATTTGAATATTATTGCTAAACACATATTAAATGTGATTATCTTATTTATGCTAAATAAAATTTCATAAGAAAACTATTGTTTCTGATTTTTTAAGGATAAATAAACAGGTCTATTTTTATACGAAAATACTTTTCAACTTTTTTATGTTAGGAGTATGAAAGTGGTATTTTAAAGTACAGTCGGTAAATACAGTATCAGTACCATATTTACATTTTGAAAAATACATGAAAAACATGATTCTTTACTGTGGACGGATTATAAGTATAAGCACCGTTTTTGATGAAAAACTGACGGCAGTTTTCGTAGTTTTCTTCTTCATGTAACGTAAATGTGGTACCTCCCCATGTAAAGTTTTCCTCACAAGTCTTCCATAAAAGCCCTTTTGTTCTAATACTTGACACAAGATTTACTTTTTCAATAGTCGGCTTCAAAGTTATAAAACAAATGGCTGTAAATCATCGGTGATAAAATAACAGGCTTGCCACGATCCGTAAACTTCTTAAAATCGTAGCAAAATTGAGAAAAAATATCTGTTTTAGGTAATTCGTATCTACCAAAATAATAATAACAACTAATAAATACATGAAAGAAGCGATTTAAAAAATGTAAATGGATATATAAATTTATATTGTTTTTTTCTTTTGTAATAATTAAGTGAAAACTAAACTTAAATTTTTTTCAGCAAGTCTGAAAAAAAAATTTGCAACCACTTGCAGGTCGTACAAACCCTAAATATGTAAATAAATATGGAGCTAGACATACTAGCTACAAGCTACATACTACGTAATTGACAATGATATTACGTATTCCACGTAAGCATAATCAGCAGCGTTATAAACTTTAGCACTAAAAAAAAAAAAAGAAAGAATTGGGACATTTTGTGTTTACATATATATGGCAAACCCACTGTTAGAAAAAGTTTGAATTAGAAATTCACCACAGTTAAAACGTGTCAATGTTAGCAGGACAAAATTAAATCTTTTTTAAAATTTGAAGCTTTTTCAAAACTTACATATCTGTTTAGATTTATATAATTACTTTTATTTTTCAGTACTGTAACAAAACACTCAAACATTATTAAAATAAATAATTACACGTTTTACCAATTTATTGTAGAAAATAAATATAGATTTATATAAAATAAATCTAATATCAAATAAAGAATAGTCTTAGAATTTATCAAGATAGAGTTTGCTAAGTTTGATATTTCAAAATGGGGTTATTTTGCTTCCTTTTGTCTTTCAAGAGTGTCTCCTACAGATTCCAGATGTTTTTCAGTTCTTTGACCTTGCTACCAAAATAATCTTTTCATTTATTTATTATCATAAGTATTTATTATTATAATTTTCGTGGTATGTAAATATATGCGGGATTTTTAATAAAGTCGAAAATTGAGTGTCCTAAATTTTAAACATGAACAATAAAATGATTGGAATAAGAAGGAGTTACAACTGGGCACTTTTTTATTGATACCATTTCCTTTTTACAATTGCGATAAACTTAAATATATATGACCTTCCGACACATCGGAAATAGGCTTTACTGTTGAAAAGGTCATGGAATGTTTTTCTATTTGTTCTATTCAAAAACAGTGTAACACATTTCGATATTCAAGGAATTGACACATTTATATAACGTTCAGTGGAGTGATAGTTTTCAAGACTTAGTGAAATACTTTTCTTTTTATTTAATCACCGGCGTTGATAATCAGACCCAATTCTGAGATGACGACTATCAATGCTCAACTACGTAGCCTTGTCATTTTGAATTTAACCCAGAAAACTAGGGAACTACTGTATCAAGCATTGGGACAAACTAGCCTTCGCGGAAGACTTTTTTGTTGGAACTAACCAGCATTTGCGTTACATGGATCCTTCCACTGAAGATATTTTACGTCAGTTCTTTGGTCGGTGCGAGGAGCCGAGAGTAGAATTCGCAGCAACTAGTCACCCGCTGGGTTTCGAACCTGGGTAATCTAGTAATCCTGAGCCACCGTAGCTCTTAATAAAAGAAAGGAAAAATTATAAAAACTTCTGCATTACGTTTTAGGGCGAGGGTCTCTAAACTACGACCTGGTTTTGCGGGCCTTGCATGCCGTCTTATGAAAGATTAATCTGTAGAACACAAAAATTAGTTTACTTATTAACATAGTGCATTTTAATTGCAAGTAATAATATGAAATTTGTCCGAAATACTCATCAACAAGTGGCGTATGATTACGCTATTATATAAAACGAACAAGAAATTTTTGAAACAAAAATTTGCTTGTCATTCTAAATTGCTGTCTGTAGGCATGATAAGATGCTGTCATTACACACCTTTTTAGATGTCAGCAAGAAAATCACTCTTTCCGCGGGGAAGGGGAGGCAGACGATAAAAAACACTTGGAAAAAAAAGCTATTTTTTTCTTCTTAAAATTCTAAAGTTGAACGAAGATATTTCCCTTTTATTAAGTTTTCCCCGCAACCCGCAATGGGCCGGAGGGGGTCATGGAGGTTAAGACTCCACAATTTCGTGACCCACGGCATGATTGTGGCAATGTTATCAGCACTCTGCACAAGTCGCTTTTTCTTCCTTGACAGACAGCCATTGATCTGAAGTTGGAAACCACCTCTGCGATCAAACCACAGTTCTTCACAATAAAAATTCAGTGCCTTAACCACATCGCCCCTCATATATAAATAATAATTATAATATAAAATGGAAAAATTTCCTCTTAGCTGCTATGAATGATAAAAGATTACATATTAGGAAACTTTCTAGACAAGAAACACGTCTTCAGACGAGAGACACGACAAAGGCTAACTCAATTTCGTTCCTGAATAAAAGCTATATTGACTAGATGAGTCATACAATATTATGACTGACATGTCCTGTCTGGTAGGACTTTGTGCCTATGTCTGATAGGTCGTGAGTTCGATCCCCACCGACAGAAGACACTCCATAAATAAAATGGTGACTGGTGCCCTCTCATTCTGTCGGCGTCACAAACTCTTCCAAGTTCCCATAACGAATCAATACCTCTAAGGGTACTAAATAGGTGATGGGTTGTCCTCTGGTTCAGATCAAACTGACGGTCCGCGGACGAATGGAGGGTGTGTGAATGTGTCCTCCCCGTAAAACGGGATGTGACGTGTGTATGTTGCCACCGGATCCTCCTTAAGGATGTTTCTAAAATCTCTGCCAATAACCCACTATGCAGTGTGAATGTGTTGACGTTGAATGTGATTATTTTCCGAGTGATATGGTAGGCTGAGAGGCAAGTCTCGACTCGAATGTGTATACTTTTTTGTCTTCATTTTGGACAAATATTCCAAACATTATATTAATAATGTAGTCACAGAACACTGCATACATTTCAGGTATCGATATTGCATAACATAACTCATAAATACCTTATATTATTAACATTGCATTACAACGAATCAGACTCTGGCAATAAATTTGTAAAATGAGGTACAACATGAAAGCATGATGATACCAGATTATTTTTACGCATTTCATGCATTTTTACAACAAACGATAAATGCAATTTCTTGCGATTCAATTTACTTCTCAATGAACGTCGTTTATTCAATTCAATTCTTACTCTAACGTCGTTTATTTCGACATCGAGTTTCCGAATCATTAAAATTTAGATTCAAACTTTTTACATGAATTGATAAGTTGCATGATCAAGTTATATATGTTACCGGCTTAGTATGAAACGCCGGCATTGTATAGAATGCCTAGGCATTCTGTAGAATGCCAAATGCTACTTAGGCAAAGTATAAAATAAACGTCCTAATGAGGTTATTATGTAAATGATGTGCAGGTTACTGTGAATGACAGAAATCGGTGGTTGTTGACTTTCACCGGTGAATGTTGACAATCACATAGTCGCTTTCGAGAATGTCCGAAATATTTAGTACATCCGATTTGATATTAATTTATTCGTGGGTATAATTACATTTATTCGATATTTTAATGCTTACTGACGATAGATTAGAAGAAACATCAGTGTTTGGAGTATCGGGCAAATGTATACCGGGCAATGGCACTTGACCTTAAAAAAACANTTAAAATTTAGATTCAAACTTTTTACATGAATTGATAAGTTGAGTGATTAAGTTATATATGTTACCAGCTTAGTATGAAACGCCGCCATTGTATAGAATGCCAAATGCTACTTAGGCAAAGTATGAAATAAACGTCTTAATGAGGTTATTATGTAAATGATGTGCAGGTTACTGTGAATGACAGAAATCGGTTACTGTGAATTGTTGACTTTCACCGATGAATGTTGACAATCGCATAGTCGCTTTCGTGAATGTCCGAAATATTTATTACATCCGATTTGATATTAATTTATTCGTGGATATAATTACATTTATTCGATATTTTAATACTTACTGACGATAGATTAGAAGAAACATCAGTGTTTGGAGTATCGGGCAAATGTATACCGGGCAATGGCACTTGATCTTAAAAAAACATCAGTGTAGGGCAGGGGTGTCAAACTCGCCGCCCGCGGGGCGCATGCGGCCCGAGATGAACATTTTTGTGGCCCAGTCAAAATATACGAAGCAAAGTAAAATTAAAATGGAAATTTGAATTAGAAACGAAACCAGCATATAAAATTATAATACTTTATTTATAAACTATACGGATCATTTTAAATTGTCCGCTCGAAAATGTAAAATTCGAATTGGCTGAAATGGAGTCCGTTTCACACTAAGCTATCAATTAGAAAGTACATAATCAGGTTTATCCTATTATAGCGAGGTAAGTATATATCTTGCTCCAAGGTTCTCAATCAATAAGGGGATTTGAAAGAAAATTTTTTTAAGTTTTTACAAACTATAAATCAAGATACAAGCTTGTTCTCCGATCAAATATGGTTGCAAGATTTATCTTTTACTATGGTTGATATAACCAAACACTTATCGATTTAAATTTATTTTTGCAAGGCAAGGATCAGATCATTACGAACATGTTTGACATAATTAAAAAAGCATTCAAATGTAAGCTATTTCTTTGGGAAAGGCAACTGAAAAATGAAGATTTAATGCACTTCCCAACGTGCAACAAGAACAAACCTTAGTTTAGATGATACTGCATCGTATCAAAAATACGCAGAAAAAAATTTCAAATCTTAGAGCAGAATTTGAAACAAGGTTTAAAGATTTTAATTCTTTGGAAGACAAATTTTGTTTGTTTTCGTCGATTTTCTCAATAAATATAGACTCAGTACCCAGTTATATGCAAATGGAAGTGATTGAGATTCAGTGCTACTCAAATTTGAAAGCAAAATTCATTGAAGTGGGTGTAAATAATTTCACGAATATTTACCAGCATGGTTTGAAAATACTCGAAAATTCGCGTATGAAATTATTTCCAAGTTTGGAAGTGAGAGCAATTATTTTCTGCTATGAATGGAAATAAATCTCCTGCCCGAAACCGTATTAATAACTCTCACGTTGGGTCAATTTTGAAACTAGTCTCGGCCAATAAAATTTCTCCCGAAATAGAAAAGATAATAGCAGAGAAGAGATGTTAAGTATCAGGACGTAAACAATAATTTAACTTTATATATGTTTATTACAATTCAAAATAAAAAAAATATTTGTTTCTATAAACATTGATTTTTTTTTTTGCTGCCCACCTGAAATTAAGCATTGTTTATTTGGCCCAGGTTAGCTTTTGAGTTTGACACCCATGGTGTAGGGTATACCGGGCTATGGCACTTAACCAGACCTAGTATGACTAGAACTTTGGTAAATGTCCGAAATATATACTAGGTCTAGTGCTAACTCCATGAGTGCCACTGCCCGGTATACATTTACCCAGTATATCCGACACTGACGTTTTTTTAAGGTCAAGTGCCATTGCCCGGCATACCCTACACTGATGTTTTTTTAAGGTCAAGTGCCACTGCCCGGTATACCTTACACTGATGTCTTTTTAAAGGTTCAGTGCCACTGCCAGGTATACATTTGCCCGGTATACCCGACACTGATGTTTTTCTAAGGTTCAACGCCACTGCCCGGTATATATTTGCCCCGTATACCCTACACTGATGTTTTTTTTAAGGTCAAGTGCCATTGCCCGGTATACCCTACACTGATGTTTTTTTAAGGTTCAGTGCCACTGCCAGGTATACTTTTGCCCGGTATACCTGACACTGATGTTTTTCTAAGGTTCAGTGCCACTGCCCGGCATACATTTGCCATGTATACCCTACACTGATTTTTTTTTAAGGACAAGTGCCATTGCTTGGTATATATTTGCCCCGATACTCCAAACACTGATGTTTCTTCTAATCTATCGTCAGTATCGAATAAATGTAATCTATCGTCAGTAAGTATTAAAATATCGAATAAATTTAATTATATCCAGGAATAAATTAATATAAAATCGGATGACGTTCTGAATTTGTCATTTTTGAATGACATTTTGACGAATCGGAGATTTATTTTATTCTTTGCCCGTTTCTCATTTGGCATTCTATAGAATGCCTAGGCAATGTGTGAAACATAAATCATTTCCCTTTGCGTTTATTCTTAAGCATTCGATACAATGCCTGATTTCATACTTTGCCGGTAACATATATATTTTGAATCAGATTAATCTATGCATAAATCCAACCCTCATCACTAATTCTTCCATGAAGCTGTTCATGTCTTCTTTATGTGATAAAAAAAAACTAAAAAAGCTCCACTTCGATATCTTATAATTATTGAAATCATTGTAGGCAGCAGATCGCAGGTAGTATTGAAAGAGCAACAAAAAGAAAATACATTTTAAATGATAATAAAAATAAGTTTGACAATTTTCTAATTGTTTTAGCATAAAGTTTCATTAAAAAATTCTAATAGTATTAACATCCTTTTATTTTTCTTAAATATGATCCAAAAGGAAATATATCTTTTTATTATTTTTACTATTAAAAATATCGTGTTTTATTAAGAAATGAATTTTGAATAAAATTTTTTTTCTTCAAAATTATGATTAACCCATTTTCTGTCAGAAGTGCGTAAACGCGTTATATTTCAATAAATATTTTTTTATTAACATAGTAAAGCATAATTTCCACTCATTTTCATTCATACGAGTCATTCCATTGAGTAAACACTTTCGGTTTTAAAAATTTTGAAACGATCTTACTCGTTTTTAGGATGGATTTAAGTTGAAAGTTTTATTAATAAAATAAAAACAAAACAAATTTCATAAAAAAATCTAGTGTCCAACTAAATGTTTTGTCTATCGATTTGGCCAATGGCGGGCTAACATTTCGTTTCTTCAATAATAAAATATTATTTTTAATGCCCGAAACTTTTTATGCATCTTAATAAATGTCATCAATTAAAAATAATACCACAATTTATAAAATTGTCAAAGTTGGCCTAAAGTGGATTTAAAGCGTTTTAACAAAATCGATTGTTAAAATTATTAATAGCCATAGTAAAAATAAAAAGAGAGAGAAAGAAAAAAAAATTATTTTATTTTTAGTTACGGGTTTTTTCAGTTTTAAATTACTTTTTTTTTCAATAATTCAAAGAATATTAAGATGAATGCCCACATTTAATTGTATCGCTAATTATAAGAAATATTTACTCAGATTTATTAATTAAAATCATTTTATGAAAAAGGATATGAAACATGCATAAAAACTTACTGTGAGTAAAACCTTTTGAGGTTTTTTTTTTAAAACTTCTCCTTCCTCGGCAGAACTCCGAGGATGCAGCTATATTTGGGTGAAGATTAGTGCGCAATCAGCCCAGCCTTGAAAAATGTTCGTAATTTGAAGCCTTTTTAATAGATGACGCCACTACACTCTTTAACGCTATCGAATAGCATAATCATTCAGTTGATATTTTATTACGTCAAAATAAATACAATGTCTTACATTTTATCGAATGGATAAAAATAATCAACCTCTTTTGAAACAGTATCGAGTCTGTTTGAAAATTAAAAACAAAATATTACAGTTCTTTAATGAAATACTAGTTTTAAATAGCAGAGTTTTCTTTTATTATTTTAAATTGACGCAAATTGAACTATTAATTTATGAACTTTATTATCTGGTTGATAAATTGGGTTTGAAGATAGTTTCAAAAAACTGATAAAAATGGTGCAATAAATAATGATAATAAGGTTTTTTTATTTTTCGGTTTAAAATAGACATTTCTTTTCAAATATCGCCTCAAACCGAAGGTCATTTCAACAGCTATGCACAATTTAGTTACAGCTATATAATTTAACTAAAGTTAAATATCTTTTGATCTGTGATAGTGCTCAACTTTCGATTTTATCTCGAAACAACAATAATGTACATAAAAGTTAGAAACAATGCTTTTTGCTTTTTTTAAAAATTTTATTCTTTTTTTTTACGAAATTATAGATAGTTTTAAATATAAGAGGCTAAAAATGTGAAATAAATTATGAATTTTTTTATGTTATTTAATTTTATTTATTTAATTAATTTTTTTCCTCAAAAAAAAGCTGAAATTGTAAAAAACTGTAAGAAATAAGTAAGAATCAACTAAAAGCTATATAATATAAATGAAAATCAACTACTTTAACTAAAAATGTAATATTACGAAGCTTTGAAACAATAACATTATTCGAAAAAGCGTCGTCTTGTTGATTTTTCGAGAATACCCTAAAAATCAATAAGACGCTTTTTCGAATACTGTAAGCTCTGTTTTAAAAACCGATTTTGTTCAAAGCCATGGTATTTACCCTGATACGATGCTCATTTCACTGTTTGTTCCAATAGAAATTTTAAACATTTTCTTTTCTTATTATAATGCAATTCAATACGTAAACTTCAAAGTACAGTCTCTTTTGTAAATGTTTCAGCTCATTTCAAGTTCTTGCTTTGAGTTGCCTTCTTGGGCCAACACAGCCGATATTTTTCTAAATAAAAAGTGATTGTGAAATCTCTCATAAAGATATTGAAATTATTGCGAAAATATTATTTAAAGGACTTCGCAAAAAAAGGAATTTTATGAAGCACTTAGAAAAGTTTAGTAGTGGTAACGCAAAGATGATTGATTTATTACATTTATGAATGTACGTTATTTTGCTAAGAAAAATCTAATTGTATGAAGCCTTAGTGCTACTAGACCTCTGAGCGTTAAAAAAGAATTTCCTGCATGAATTTGCATACACAATTTAATTTTTCGAATAGTCGTCTCTATTATTTCTTGCCATATAAAGCAACAAAGAAAATAAAGATAAAAGTTAATTTTAAATATAATTTTAAGTAAAGTTCGAGAAAACGGCTGCTCTGATCTTTCAAATTCCGATTAACTTTACTGATTTTATAAAAGTAAAAAAATAATACCTTTGATAACTAAAAAGTTTTTAATGTAGAATGTTTAATTTTTTGATAGTTTTAACCTTTTGCCTTTCTAAAGGGACATCAGCTGTCACCACTCTCAAATTTAATATCTTAATAATTTTTAGTCACTATCATTATTTTATTTTATAACAGTCGTTGAATAGCCCATCCAAATTTGAATTTGCGACTGCCATTGTTCAATCCCGTAGCCTTGTCATTTTAAACCCAATCCAGAAGACAAGGAAACTTCTGGATAGAGCATTAGGAGAAATTTGCCTTCGTGGAAGGCTTTCTTCGAGAGGCTTTTTGAGAATAACCCGCATTTGCGTTATATGGAGAGAAAAACCACGAAAAACAGATCTATGTCTAAATTTAGGAAGTGGCCTCACGAATTGTATGGCATGTCTTCGGATCATTCTCTGGAATGTTTCCCAGACAATTGCTAATATTGTGCAGCTGTAGAGCGTCGTAAATAAGTTTACGACGTCTACCTGAAAATAATCATTTTTAACGTTCCTTTTAATTCTCATTTTACCGAAAACCATAATTCGTCTTACATTATTCGTTTTTAGTTTATATACACCGAAAATAAATTCTTAACTAGACTACAATTCAACTCCTGGATCGCGAATTCTACGGAACATAAAACTTAATCAATGATCAATCAAGATTATCAATGATAAAACAATAAAAAATTTCATTTTTAAAAAAAAAAATTCGAAAATGGTCTTTTATGGGTTAATAGGCTGACAATTGTTTTATATACTTTATTCATGAAGTCGGAATTCCACCAAAAGAAGGTTCCGTTTGGGGTTTCCCAGCCGTAAAAAATTTGGAACCGCTGATACAGAGAATATAATCTTTTTTATTTTTTAATATTTAAATATTTTTCTTTTCCTTGCTCTCAAAAGGCGATGAAAGTCGACCGACTATTTATCAAGAGGGGAATGTATTTACTCGGCCTTGGAAAGATGAATGCTTTTTTTTTTCTTCTTTTCTTTCTTTTTCTTTGAAATATATATTTTTTTCCTGAAAATATTTCAAAACTGTTTCAAGTAGGGAGTGGGAGGACAGTTGCCCAAAAACCTATTACTCTGAGCGTATATTTTCCCCCCGTCAAAATTAGAATCTTCATTTTAAGTGATCTAATATGGATGCTTCGTTTTTTTTACCAGACTTTAAAACGTTTAAAATGGTGTCTTAAAATTCCTGCAAGCATTAACGTAAATTTACTACCACTCAAAGACTTGACGTGTTCACAGTAGCTCCGCATCTATGTGTCCATCATTTCGTCTAATCATTAGTTCTTTTAACTTCACTCATTAAAGAAAGACATATCGAAGAGCTAGCATATTCATTCATATCATTATGTTTCTTACAGCTATGAACGATGGATAAAAAAAAATCTTAAAAACGCAACTGAAGTCAATATTAAGATGTAACGTATTTTGTCTCGTTACTTTTTATGAAATTGTAAAAAAAGTTTTGTTATTCTGCAAAACTTGCGAGGAAAATTTTCAGTGACAAACGACGAAAATATTCCATTTCTCTACCCTAGCCTTCTCTACCCCCCTGTATGAAACAAAACCTTTTTTTTTCAAGCTATTTATATTTAAAAATGCGCAAAAAAGGTTTTTCAGTCTTGATATTCCTTGCAACATACATAGGGAAAATTTAAAAATTCACTGATTCAAGGAATTTTCTAAGCTATACTTAACTACTTCTTCGCAACTTCTTAACTACCTATACAAAAATTTTTCAAAAAATGTGGAAAAGTTTGCAAGAATTTTTCCCCATTAATGTCGCTTAAAATAGTTGCATAATTTTTGTGTTTATCGCTTTGCCGTAAGAAACAGTTTTAACATTTTGCTTTTTTAATTTTTCCTAAAAATGTTTAGATAAAAATAAAAATACATATTAAAACATTCGTATGTTTATTTAATCAACTACACAGTCTAATCCCGATATTATGAACTCGAGTTATAGTGGTCACTCGGTGGTAGCGAAAATTTTAAACGATATAGTCCGGAGTGTTATTTCATACGGTAATAGAGAAAAACTAAGAAACTGGTTGGTACTTCATTTACAGTGAATCTGAATAAATGTTACAAATGTTTGCTTTATGTAATGAGTTCAAATGCATATAATAATGGATTTTAATTAAAACTGAAGTAATGCACATTATAAGGAGGGTTTTAAAAGCTGAAAGTAATAAAGCGGGTGATTCCGCATTGATTGAGAAAGACCATCAGAATTTCGAGTTTTAACGGCAACTTTCTTCAAAATGGATGGAAATGAAAAAGATAAAATTCCGAAAAATGGTGAGAATTGAAAAAATAAATGTTAAAAAAAATCATTATAACGGAACCGCAACTTATAAGAAAAATATTTGAATGTTTTGTTAAAAACAAAATATTTGGAAAATATTCGCTGTAAGGAAAGTACGTACTAAGGAAATTCTATATACTTTCTAAGTTAATAGAGCAAATAATGTAGTATCGCAACCACTATTTCTAACAATACTATTGCAATATGCTAACGAATATTTAGTTCCATAGAGCGAACCGTCGTTTATAATGGATTTCTATCTGGGTCCGTGGACGCAGCACTGTAGCAGGGTCCGATAACCGTTTAAGGTGAAATGTCAAAGCTTAAGTCGACATTACCAAACATACAAATAATAAATCGAAATGTCATTGTTTCATCTCGCTGCTAGAACAGGTCTATTAGTAATAAGTCGATGTCAAAATGATAGCCTGAAAACCGATATTTATATTCATCGGTAAAATTTAAAACTTATTTTTTGATATGACTCAATTTTAAAAGAATATGACTAAGTTATACTTCATTTTAATATGAATACATTTTTAATAAAATGACATTTCTCGTCGCATTAGTTAAAGCAGCCGTCCCCCATTTTTTTTTTCCGGCTATAGCACCCTAAAGAAGAGTCGAAATTTTTTCTGCGGAATCCCGATGCTCATTCGCAATCGAATGAATGAAAGAACGATCAACATACTATTTGGAAATTATGAATGTCAATCTAATTATTTTCTATTTTTAAACTTCTTATCCTCATAATTTTTGTGTNTAGGCTGACAATTGTTTTATATACTTTATTCATGAAGTCGGAATTCCACCAAAAGAAGGTTCCGTTTGGGGTTTCCCAGCCGTAAAAAATTTGGAACCGCTGATATAGAGAATATAATCTTTTTTATTTTTTAATATTTAAATATTTTTCTTTTCCTTCCTCTCAAAAGGCGATGAAAGTCGACCGACTATTTATCAAGAGGGGAAAAAAGGTTTTTGTATTTACTCGACCTTGGTAAGATGAATACTTTTTTTTTCTTTCTTTTTCTTTGAAATATAATTTTTTTCCTGAAAATAATTCAAAACTGTTTCAAGTAGGGAGTGGGAGGAGTTTTAAATGTTGTTAAATGTTATTAATAAAGTTTTTTTAAATGTTGCCCAAAACCCTCTTACTCATT